CACACACACACAAATATATATATACACACACACACACACACACACATACACATATATATATACATATATACATTCGGTCGTCTTCTGACGTACCTGAGACATCGAGGCTGTGGCGCCAATGACGAAGAAGGCGATGAAGAGATAGACGAGATAATCGAATAGGAAGTACATTGCCACCAGAAACAGAGAGATGAACACAAAGGCCATTACCACGTGCTTGGTCTCAATCTCATCTGTGACTGTGGTGGGTGGGGCAGCCTGCAACGAGTGACAGGTCAAAGCAGTTAGGGTTTTAGAGATTTTAGGATTGTTGGGTTTTAGGGTGGCATTCTACAGCGACATTTGACTTGCTACGAGTGATATTTGAGAATGGGGGATGAGTGGTGGTGGTGGTGTGTCGTGTGCATATGATAACGAGAGTACTATTATTGACACATAACAAACAGGACATGAACAACTACAACACATAACACACACTCAAAGTATAGAACATGCATGTACTACACAACACACACGTGTGGCATACAGGATTTATACGTATCAAATAGCACACACAACCCACATAGCACACATATGTATGTGTATCATATAAAACACGTGTACGTAACACATTTATACATCACTCAATTAACGCACGCATAACACGTATATATGACACACACTTATAACTATAACACACATATAGAACACACATAACACGTATGTATAACACACATACAACACACATATAACCATAACATATATAATACACACATAAATGTAACATACGTATATGAAATTCACATACAACTAGAAAACACATAAAACACACGCATAAAATGTATTATTTATATAACACAATTATATGACACACATGCATTACTACGACACACACATACATAGCACACACATATAACATGTATATATAATTGTATATGACACACATGTATAACTATAATACTTAACTATAACACACACATATAGCACACATATATAACGCTTATATATAATTGTATATGACACATGTATAACTAGAATACATAACTATAACACACACATATAACACACACATATAACGCGTATATATTATTGTATATGACACACATGTATAACTAGAATACATAACTATAACACACACATATAACACACACATATAAGACGAATATATAATTGTATATGACAAACATGTATAACTATACTACATAGCTATAACACACACATATAACACACTCATATAACATACACCACTGTGCTCGGGCAGTCGTTGGAGAGCATCTGAGCTCGGTCTAGGGTGTGCCAACAAACAGCCACACGTGACCACCACCACAGCCAACACCAGCAGCACAGTGTTGCTGAAGCGAAAGATCTGGTCAGTGCCAGATAACCCTGCCCATAGCAGGGGTAAGGAAACGGGGGTAGGGATAATAAGGGTAAGGAAACGGGGGTAGGGATAATAAGGGTAAGGAAACGGGGGTAGGGATAATAAGGGTAAGGAAACGGGGGTAGGGATAACAAGGGTCAGGAAACGGGGGTAGAGATAACAAGGGAAAGGAAACAGGGCTAAAGATAACAAGGGTAAGGAAACGGGGGTAGAGATAACAAGGGTAAGGGAAACGGGGGTAGAGAAAACAAAGGTAAGGAAACGGTAAACAAGGGTAAGGAAACGGTGGTAGAGATACCAAGGGTAAGGAAACATGATAGTCACTGGTAGTGATGGGAATACTAACACGACCTACCTACAAACATTGTCACGTACACCCCTGCAGCTCCTGCAGACGACAGATTGGCAGCCAAGGCCTCCGCATCTGCCCGAGAAATCATCCCTAAGTGAAAAATCAAACAGACAGTTATAACAATAAGGTAGAAGAGATTCAGTTAAGAAAACGGTACACTTTGAGAACAATAGTGCGATAGAGCATTGGCAGGCATGCGCAGGAGAATGTATATATATATATATATATATATATATATTCATATGCACATATAAATATATTTATAAGGATATAGGAGAATGTATATATATATATATATATATATATAAAATATTATATGTAAAATAAATTTTATGCTATGTGTTAATACACCGCTAGGTACGCAGATAGCTCTTTCTAACTCTGCTATTACAACTATTCTACACAGGAAATGAACTATGAGCGTAACCTTATACACATTCATTTATTTTCTTAAATGGAAAATGTTACAACATACATCAACTAAAACACAAACGACCACAGACACTCTACAAAACCATCTGCTCAGATCACTCTAACATGAACATAACCACGTGTCATAGTCATACACCCCCCCCCAAACACACACACCCCCATCAACCCAAACCCACTCCCATCACCCAAACCCACCCCCAAACTCACACCCCCATCACCCAAACTCACCCCCAAACACACACACTCCCATCAACCCAAACCCACACCCAAACTCACACCCCCATCATCCAAACTCATCCCCAAACACCCACATCCCCATCAACCCAAACCCACCCTCTAACACACACACCCCCATCAACCAAACTCACCCCCAAACGTACACACCCCTATCAACCCAAACACACACAGCCCCATCAACCCAGACCCACCCCCAAACACACACAGCCCCATCAACCCAGACCCACCCCCAAACACACCAACCCAACCACCCCCAAACACACACACCCCCATCAACCCAAAGCCACCGCCGCCCCTTTCCCCCGGTGCCTATACACTCCCATTCACTCACGCAACCAACTCACCCGTAGGGATACTCACAGCCGCAAACTCTTCCGGTGAGCCGGTGGGTGCGAAGGTGGTCTCCTGTGGCGAGTTCTGTGCAATGACCACAGCCCCACCACCGGCTGCTTGTGCGTAGAGGATCTTGTCAGCGAACGTACAGTTGCCACGTGATATCAGTACAGCGCTGTCTTGGTATGCACCGGGTGCCTGTGTGATGGGAGGTGAAGGTGGGATGGGATAGGTAGGTAAGAAACGGTGAGAGGGGTGTGTAGGTAAGCAACGGCTGCTCACACGGAGAGACTGTCGGGTCAGCAACCGTGTACTTACTACAGGAGACTATCACAGCTTTGTCTTGGTGTGCATGGTAGGTACTAGACTCCTGCGGGTGGATGCGAAGAGTGTGTGGGCACAATGAGTGATATGTGCATATACAAACGACAGGGGTAGAGAAGTTTGAATGGTGGAAAGAATGGCTAACATACAACAGCAGCAGGGGTTGTCAGTGGTATCGGATTGCTGAAGCGAGTTACCAGTTTTGTGAGGGATGGTGGACGTGGAATGGAAGGTCGGCTGTATGTGCGTGTTTATGTACGCATACATACACACAAATACACACACATATACACACACACACACACATGCACACATACACACACACAGGCACAGACACACACACCCACACACAGACACAGACACAAACACAGACACACACAGACACAGGCACAGACACACAAACATATATATATATATACATATATACATATATATATATATATATATATATATATATATATATATATATAGTATATATA